CCGAATATAGTATGGAAACTTACTGTTAACCAGTTAACAGGTTTTTACTGTAGAATTTTTACTGTTAAAATCACAATAATTTTTACAGTGTAGTACAAAGAGAGTAAACGTGCGGTCACATTTAGGATTTGTCTGCAAATTTTCATGGGTGAAATTTTGTTTGTGTCAAGTTGGTCATGCCACATCACTGGACTGTTTAACAGAAAGTTGCTTGGTTTGAAAGTTACTTCTGTGCGACCTGGGCTTCATACATCTCTATGCTGCTGAGAACAGACAGTGGACCTTTTTTGTCTATGAATTTCACTAAAATTTCAGAATTGTAATTTTTGGCTAATGTAACTATTCGTTCAGGGTTGAAACAAAAATGTTAATTTTTGGGTGAACTTTGCCTTTAATACTTATGGTTAGGGGGGTTTGGGTTTCGACACTCCCATACACGTATATTAGCAATAACAGAGACTGTTGTCTTAGCAAACAGCACTATTTAGTGTGCTGTGTCGTGTGTGTTTTTAAGATAAACAGCAGTGGTTTTTGTAAGTGGGCTACAGTAGTACTCTGGCCGTCCCACACTCAATGTTGAGGTGGGGGTGTTCCACTTAAAAGAACAAAAGCTACATCCTGATTAGGGTTGCAAAATTCCGGGAATTTTCAAGACTGGAAACTTTCCATGGGAATTAACAGGAATATATGGGGATTAACGGGAATATATGGTAATTAACTGGAATTAATGGGAATAAACTGGAAATTTGTAAAATTGCAGGAACTGGGGACCACAGGAGTTTTAAAATCCTAACCGATTATGAAATCTGGTTGCAGCGCACACACACACATAAGGAGAATCTTTGCAGATGATCTTCTTATATCCATGTATGGTTACAGTAAAATCATATAAAACAGTGAAATCGCTCAGGAAATCTGTCCTGTCTTGCCTGCACTCGAGACGGTGACGTGTGAGCGCCACTGACAGGTTCTTCACTCCTATTGGTTGTTGCTCGCGAAATTCGCTGGTCATTTGCATAAAGTTAAACAATTTTTTACTTGTCTCTTGACTCGCATCTCTTTTGCTCATCAAGCCTTCATTTATTTAATCAAAAATACAGAACAAAACAGTAATATTGCACAGTATTACAATTTAAAATAATGGTTTTCTATTTTAATATACTTATATATAATGTTTTTCTGTGATCAAAGCTGAATTTTGAACATCATTACTCCAGTCTTCAGTGTCACATGATTCTTCAGAAATCATTCTGATATGCTGATTTATAATCAATTTTGGAAACAGTTGTGCTGTTTAATATATTTTTTTTTATTACCTGTGTTTATTTTTTCAGGACTCTTTGATGAATAAAGAGTTAAAAAAAGAACAGCGTTTATTTAAAATATAAATCCTTTTTTAACAATACACTACCATTCAAAAGTTTGGGGTCAGTCTCTTTTCTCTTTTTTTGAAATAAATTAATACTTTTATTCAACAAGGATTTGTTAAATTAATAAAAAGTAATAGTAAAGACTTATATTGTTAGAAAATATTTCTATTTTGAATAAACACTGTTCACAAGTTTTCATTCATCAATAAATCCTGAAAAAAGCATCACAGATTCCCCCCCAAAAAATCCAAAAATGTAATTTTTAAAATTTGTATTAGTTTGCATGCATGTGAGCATTTGATCAAACAAAATGTTTATATTTATGTTTGTATGATAGTTTTATAAATTTCCCCAAATTTCTAATTAATTCCCATAAATTCCCCAAAATTCCCATAAATTCCTGGTAAGTTTCAAACTTGGAATATTTCTAAAATTCCCTAGACGAAGTTCCCATGGAAAGTTTCTGGAAAATTTCCGCCCCTTTGCAACCCTAATCCTGATCAATAAAAGTAACGAGTTTCATCTCCAGTGCGCTGTGTGCCCGTCTGAGTGTGTGTGTGTGTCGTGTGCTGCCTCGCTCTAATCCAGAGTTTTCATAGAAGTGCTTGATTCTTCCTGTATCTTGGCTGGTGTCTTTCACGGGACATTATCCTGCTTTACAGAGGGCTGGACTGAGCGGGGTTCAGCAGGTTGATTAGTGTGTCCATCTGTTCACTGTCTGCCTTTGTGTTTACTGGAGTTTTTACATGCTCTGCTGTGAACTCCTCAGACAGGTTGAAGCAGTACGATAAGAAAAGCTCTGTACTCTCTGCCCACTTGCTGTTTTTTGGGAAAATATGGAAAGTAGAAAAAGAAATGATTTGTTTCACAGCAAATGCTG